CCAGCTCCAGAACCCCTTTAATTCTAATCATACTAATTGTGGCCCAAATCAGTCTAATTATATTACCTCTATGACAACGACAAGCAACTAGTAGATTAATTTTGTTTACAAAAATCGAATGGTAAAAGCATTCACGGTGTTTTCCACATGGTTACCAAACTCTTATGGGAGAGTATGCAAAAGTCTTGTTTTAACGATTGTTTATGGTTATAATCAATACGGTGACTAGGGCGGTACCAGCGGTATCAGGACGCTGAAGGTGAATTACAGGAAATTTAAAAATTTTTTACATTGTGTTAATGGAATAAATCAAAAATTATAGTTGCAGTAGCTTAAATTACCAAGCTTGGTACAAACCATCCCTACTCAATTTAGCAGGTGTCCACCTCTATCTAATGCGGCAGCCTATGCGATAGCTCTGTCTTCCTAATATAAAACACAATCTAAATAATTGCAATAAATAAGGCCTTAATTATGAATAAATGAATTAATCAATATTTATTATAACCTCAAATGAAAATACAGTATGACCACAAATATACAGTACTGAATCGAAAAATTTATATATTGCTTACCTATTAATATTAACAAATTCAACAAAAATGACAATTATGACTATTATAATGACTATTATAATAGCCAAGCATTCTGTTGGACGTACAGCTCAAGACGGTCTTAGAACTTTCGTACCATACTTTGAAATGTGGGTACATTATTTCGGCCAAACTCGTATGAGTGATTATGTTTCACATATAAAAGTTTTTTCTTCAGTTGTAAGCATCTTGTTCATAGACACTGTTGTATACCTGACAGATAACAAGTTAGTGTTTGTTTAAAACAAGTTTGATAGCAGTGTCACTTCTATAGCAACTCTGATTAGAGTTACAATTTCAGTACTGTATATTTACGGTCATATTGTATTAATTTTTAAAACTATTTATACCCCAATATAAATATAGCATAAATTGTGTTAACTACCTTTCAGGGTATTATATTTTTTACTAATTAAAATAATTCTGAATTTATTAATTATTTTTAAATAGTTAATCCTTGAAAATACAAACATTACTGTCAATTGAGAGAAAAAGTAGATTTAGGCGATAACTTTGAATTGTGATTAGTAAAATTAGAAGACAAATTAAATATTTGTTAATATTTTCAAAAAAACATTTATGAAATCGATAGAAACCCCTCTTAAAATCGTTAGTTTACCAAAATTAAAATAATTAAGAAACTGATTGTGGAACATGGCTGAATTCTCTTAGGGATTTATACTGATAATTCTATCTTTAAGGATATTACATGTCTTAAAATGCTTTGCGAAATAGGCAATTTAAATGGAATACTTTATTTGTTCGTTACCATGATTTATAAACTACTAATAAAACACACATTTTACAACAATCAGGGTTTTATTCACAAACATAAATTTCTACATAAAAGAAAAGTTTATTATAACAATTTACAAGGATTTTATGTACACCGTACCCTGAAAATAAACTATAATATATTTAATACATTATCTAAAACAAATTTAAATTTACCATCTTATCTGTATTTTTTAAGTATTAAAATTAATTTAGCAAATAAATATTTAAATATGAATCTTATTAATGAAAAACAAAAGCCACATGTACTAGGAAAATAAGAAAGTGAACACAAATTTTAGTATACCTTGAAACCAATTATATTTTAAAGATTCATGACTTAAAAAGTGTTTTATATATCATTCCCGGGTTTTCACCTAACATTTTTTTTATTTTATTTACTTATTGTTATTTCAATTTTTTTCAACAATATCAGGTTATAACAGAATTAGGTCCTGCTTTGTTATTGAACAACTTGTATATTTTTATATATTTTAAAAGTCTTTTCTAGTATAGAGAGAATCGGTATTAGACGTTCTGGAAACTTGTCACCCCCAAGGTGAAATCATAATAATCAAAAATTAAAAAAATTCTGTCCATGAGGGATTCGAACCCTAGTATCCATTTTCTACGCACACCACTTTTACCAACTGAGCTATCAGCGACATGTTCAATGACTTCCCAAGAAGAATATAAGCATTTAAATTCGACCTCGTTTACAGATAATTTTTAATTCCTAACAAATAACTAGTGATGCCGCGAGACAAGATGAGACGAGAGAGTGGCCTCTCTCGTCTCGTCTCGAAGGGCGAAAGAAAACTGTTCTCTCGTCTCGACGAGAAGGCGCTTCCCTCGCTCAAGAGAGCCTTTCTCTTGTCTTGTCTCGTCTCGTTTCTCTCGTGATAAAACAATATCAAGTTTAAATTAAAAAAAAACGAAATATGAAAAAACGGTAAAATTTGTAAGAAAAAAACAGATAATTTTTCAAGTAATTTGCGCATTAGTACCCAAATTTGGCAATAAGAAACACATATGTCTCTCTGTCTGTCGTTAACTCCAAACAAAAATACTTTGTCTTGTAAGTCAGTTGGGGAGAGGTTAAATTGGAAGTTAGAATTTGTTTAATGCAATCCTGCGATGTCAAATGAAAGCATTTTGTAGTATTTTTTCAAAATGCAAGAAGATAGATACATAAAACAAAAACGATGTGAAATTAGAGAAATATTATGATATTTTTGTTATACTGAAATGCTTTTTACTTGAGACGTAAAATAAAATAAATTTTCTAATAGAAAGTAAAGTCATGTAATACCTCATTTGAAAGATATGTTGATTATATTTATGTCCAAGCAAACAGTTTTTTTTTGTTTTTACAAAAATTACATTATTGGTAATCCTCGTGTGCCGCAATAATCCCAGTAATGTTAGATCATGTTAGAAGAGAAGTTTTTAATAAGCTTTTTTTGCCAAGAAATTATGAAAAATTTAATATGTCAAGTGGTTTTTAAACCACCTTTGATATTCTTAATTTATTTATTTTAGTAAATACAAGAGCCGTTTCCTTAGTAATAAACAATAATTGTTAATACGAGAGTTATCAAGAGTGTAACTCTAACAGAAAAAAATTTCTTAAAATTATAAAAGATACTGACATTACTCTGTACTAGCCAAAATTTCAATTATCCATTGTATACTATTGTAAAAAACAGCTTTTATAAAGTATTATTCCTCCGGTAATGATCCTTTGAGGTTGAAGCGCTAAATAAAAAAAGAATTTAACCTACTTTATGAATTTACATAATATAATTTTTGTAAAAACATAAAAACCTAAATCTGTTTACATGAACGTAAAAATATAGAAAATATCTTTCAAATTAGGTATCACATGACCATACTTTCCAATAGAAAATTTAAAGCTAGTAACTTCCTCTATCTTACGTGTCTCAAGTTAAGTGAATCTCGTTATAACAAAAATATAATATCTCTTGAGTTTTACCTCGTTTTTGTTTGATAATTATCCTTTTTCATTTAGAAGTTAAAATGTAGAAGGGTACAATTTTCGTCCTCACTGTATATAATACATTCGTTTGTATTACCTTTTCTTTGATAGCTTTCGAAAAAACGCTTAAAAATGTTCAACTTATCTTCAAAAGTAACCTCAGAAAAGCAGAATGGATTAAATATAAGAAATGATTGTATGAATTTTAAATAAATGTAAATTATTTGATCCACTTCATGAGGTATATGGGTGCATACATGATGCTTGAGATCATATTTTAAAGGTAAAGGTACATTTTGGAATAATATAATAGTGCTTTTAAATTGTTTTCATACAAACTACTAGCCACTCCCTTTAAAAAATTTAGTCTGGATAGATCTTTAGCATTTTTATAGATTTGGTGAAGTACCTATATATGCATTCAAATCATACACGTACGCATATACCATGAGTACCATGGACTCTCTAAGGTCCAATACTTACCCTATTAATAATTAAGCCCTAGGGACTCAGGTGTCAAATTAATCCTGTAATATTTTTTTAATAAGTGGTACTATTAGTCTAATTTTTATTTGCTTGTTAGTATATCTGTCATTTAATTTAAAACCTATTATTAACAAAAGAATGTTGCTATTACACAATTGACCTGGAAATTTGTTGTTTGGGTTAAATGTGTCATTCTAGTTTGGGACAAATATGTCGCAGTATATTATCACATTTACCATTATCTAATGGCCAACAAATGTTCACATCAACACTGTTGGTAGGTCCTTGAAAAGAATATTGTAAATTATTATCCGATTATGTCGTTGATAGACGTGGAATGTATGAGTTAAAGAAATAAGTTTGAGGCCATATTTGGTAGAAAGTAAAAAGGAGATATTTTCTGAATATCTAAAAATATATGAAATTACAAAATGGCCATGGTCAAAAAAAAAAAAATAGAAGTACAAAAGTGAAATATTTTAAAAGATATATTGTTAAAACTTGAGAATTTAAAATGCTGAATACTTTTACAATTATAATAAATAATATTAACCACTGTTATCAAATAAATGTTTTCAAAATATTTTAATTTTCAATACTTGCCAGTGGACACGAGTATCAAAACCATAGACAACGTGAACTTGGTCCAATAACAAACAAAATTAGTGTTTTAAACTAATTAATTTTTCTACGATATAAACTAAAGTCTGTTCTGACAGCCAAAGGATTAGTTGTTTTGCAGATGGAACCGATCACTCGTGTTATTTTGTGACACATACGATTAGCTTTAAGATTCTTTTTTTTTTCTTTATTCTAATTATTAATTGATGTTTAATCGTATTGACAATGCAACAGTTATAACCAACTTTCAAACTATTCGAAAAAAAATATAAATAAATAAAATCTCTAAGATGTTATTTTAAAAACTTAATACGAAATACGAATTTTTTTGTAATTTTTTTTTAGAAATAATATAGTTTTATTTTTTTTCTAAATAATGGAGTGTATTAATTACAATAAATTAGTATTTTTATTTCTTATATCAGAAAAGATGGTATATGTAATAAATTATAAACTAATTTAGAAAAATATCAACCGGATGCAAGAACAGAGCTTATAAATGTGATCTGGCTAAATGACAAGTTACTCACAATCTAAGCGTCTATACATTCTAATGTTCTTGCAACCAATTGTTTTAACTATAAATGTTCGAATAGTTTTTTATTTGTACAATAACACAATTTATAGGGCATAACTGCAATAATTATCAAAAACAAAAAAAAAATACCACAACCTATAACATTTACAATCATCTAATACGGTCTCCACACATGCCTGCTATTTTCTTTAGAACACTTATTATTTTCTCTGTCACTTGAACTCACTTCTTCTTTTTGTTTCACTAAAGTAACTGCCGCTTTTCTTACTTTAACACTTAAATTAACACCTTCACAATTTTTAACATCTTTATCTGTTTCTTTAATATGGTCTTTTACATCTTTAACAAGTTCTTTATCATCTTTAATGTCACTTTCGTCCTCTATTTCAGTTACGTCTAATTTTTCGCTAGAGCTGTCTGGATTTTGGGAGTTGTCATCGTCCTGGGACGTCCTCGACATCAGTTGATTATTCCTGAAGTTCATCCAACTCCAGTCGTGCGGATACAGCTGGGAGTAGAACCACTGACCTGTAAAGTGAAAGAAAAATTAAAACGTATTTAGGTAACTAATATTTCAGTTTCTTAAGATGTAAATTTGACATGAAAGAAAGGAAGCCATTGGGCTTTTTTTAAAAAAAGAAGATTTAGAAATTATCCTTTAACTTAGTTTCTCACAAAATTCTTTATATTTACTGATTTGTTTACTATATTTTTTTAATTAATTTCGATAATAATAAAAATACTCACCAGGAGGTGGTATTAAAGGCGCATTCAAGAACAAACTAGCAGCCAATGCATTGTTGAATAGCTGATTACTCTGCATTTGAGGTGGTGGAATCCCTGGAAAGGCTGGAGGAGGTTGAGGTGATGGAGTAGGCGAGGCAGTTACAGATATGTCGTCTTCCTGAGGTGACTGCGGGCCACCAGCAGTTGTTAGAAGTCCAACTTGAGTATTGGGAGATGCCTTCGGGGAAGTGGTACTATGGGCACTACTGCAATTTATTGATATCGGCCCTAGAGATGTTGAAGATGGTTCTGAAAAGTAAAAATGAAAATACAATTATTTATTATAAAATAATTTTAGATAGAGCTTAAATATAAAAATATTATTCTTGTGTAGCTAAAAAATAATTCCTATTTTTGGAAAAATCAAAAATCAACTATTCTGACGATTAGACACTGCAAGGCATTGGCGTCTTAAAAAATGATCTCTGATGTGCATCGGTTTTTTTATTAAAAATACTTTACCTAACTACCTATAAATAGAAACCACCAATAACTTGACCACTCTTGAAAATCAGGTACTCTCTAAAAGTGCGATTGTACCCAAATACTTCACATTTAAAAAGTGGAAGCAAGTACCACGGACGCATCTACCACAGATTCAATGAATTAATTTATAAGTGAATCCTATTAAAGGATATGGAAAAAATTAAACAATATTGATTTAAAAGAATTTCCCATTTGCAAGGCTTGTCAAAAAGAGAATGGAATAGCAGTACATCACGGATAAATCTGAAAATAAGTATGCAGGGATGGGACTCTATCCGAAATCAAAATAATCTTAAATGAACATTTTTATACAATATTTTTTCTTACCGTTTGCTATCCGTGGAGATATATTTAGTGGACGGTCCAAAGCAGCAAACATATGATGGGTGAAATGGGGGTGGTGATGACCCATAAAGGGTGCGTTGGGATATGGATGTCTTCCCCCCAAAAGAGCCCATTCCGGTGGTGGCCCAGGTAATCCAGCGAGATGGTGCGCAATACCTGAAACAAGAAAATAAAATTGAAAAAATAAATACACAATACATATCACTAAATTAAAATCGCCCTTCCTCATAATTTAAATGAATTGATAAAATTAAAATAATGGATCTACTCGTGTTTTCTACGATACTGCATTTTAAAAATTAACTTTGAGGTTATTATGATATAATAACTATTTAACAAATAATTAACAAAAAATTTGATTTTGACTACTAAGGAGAGCGCCATTCGTGGACCGGTTTTGTTCTTATTCGGACTCGTCAGTAAATAAAGGACATTCTTGATTTCAATCTTTAAGGGAACCTGCAGACTTATAGTTGGATGTTGGTTAAGTAAGATTCAGAACTCGGAAAGTATTTCAAGTTACTATAAGTAGACAAAATTAAAAACAAGGCGGACAATTTTTAAAAATAAAAATAATTTCAAGCCCAATGGTGACCAAGACGTAAAATAAATAAAAACAAGAAAATATCTAAGCCATGTGTCACTAAACAATACGAAGACCGTTTTCTTCATGAAAACAACTAAACCTTTGGCTAAAATTTAAATGCATGACTATTTTTTAAAATAAACTCGAAAATAAAATGTAAAAATATTTTTTTCACCAACCATATGTGAAAATTAATCATATTAACCCTAAAAATATGAACGAAAGTAACGCATATCGTCCCATGGGCTGCTAAACTCATAACAGCCCAATTTTGTTGTTTTTTACTAGATACCTTTGACACATAAATTTTGATCAAACGTCAGACAGTGACGAAGAATTTACAAATACTCCATCAAACTTGCAAGAGGAAGCAAACAATGTTTCTCTAAATTTACTACCTACTAAGTCAAGAGAACGGTACTATGAATTGTTTAACAACTGGGAAAAGAGTAAAAAAGCATAAAGCTGAAAATGTAGTACTTGCTTATCTTTCTGAAAGATCAAAGATTGTAAATGCAGGTACATTATGGTCTGAATTTTCAATGTTGAAACGCATTTTTAAAATCAAAGAAAATATTAATTTTGATAATTTCCATAAAGCTCGAGCATTTCTGAAACAAAATTCTGTGAATTACCTGCCCAAAAAATCCAAAACCTTGACTCAAGAATAATGCATTAAGTTTTTTAAGGAAGCACATGATTTTAAATATCTTATGATGAAGGTAAACAAATAGAATAATACATATGAACTAATTTCTTTTTACTAACGTTAAATTGTAGATTTCTCTTATGATAGGGTTATACGGAGCATTTTTTATCAACTTTTTGAGCGTGGTGACCGATAAGAAAACAATTTTTTTTCTTTTATTGAATAAATGAGAAGGTAATATTGTTTAAAATATTTTTATTATCTTACAATACATGTAGGTTATTCAGAAATTTTTATCATTGAAACTATAGGTTTATGGTAACTGAAATAAGAAACATAAGTTTGAGACTTGATATCCTCTAAATATCTGAAAAATACCGCGTCAATGGTAGTCCCATATTTTGTTGTGGATTATTCTGGATCATTATTCATTTTCAAATTTAATTTTTCTGAAAGAAAAGTTGTCAATAGCTCTAATTTTTTATCAGCGAAGTTAATGTTGAAATCGCCAGCCAAGATAAGTAAAAATTTATTACCATTTGTACCAAGTATTTTCGACCTTTCTTCAGTGTACTCCAGTAAAGTGCGATGAATAAAGTGCTCTACCTCGTCCAATTTTGGATTCGGAGAAATGTAAATTGCTACCATGACTATGTGTAGGCCATTTCTAAGTTTGCATAAGCACGCACAAATATCTGTGCCTGTCGGAGTGAGGGGCGTTAGGTTTATTTTCGTTACGGAATTTCTTGATTCGGTCGCCGCGCTCAGAGCCCGCCATAAAAGCTATGCAATAGCTTAAAAATATTATAACAAGGACGTTTACAATAACAAACAAAACAGTTGATGGATTGAATCTATTTACAATATACAATAAACATATTACCCTTAGACCTACCCACACTCCTCACAATCGCTTATTCATTTGTTACAAGAATAATAAATGTACAGCACAACCGATCGAAAAAAATACATTCAGTAAAATTTAAAAAAAAATAGCCACTTTTCTAAAACTGCCTGAGCCCAGTAAATACACAGGAAATTGCTTCCGCTGTAGCTCCGCAACCCTTCTTGCTAACTGTGGGACTGATTTGGTAACACTTAAAAAGCATGGAGGATGGCGTTCTTCTGCAGGTGCAGAAGGATATAACGATGACTGCTTCTCAAATAAAATTAATATATCTTAAAAATCCTGGAAAACCAAGAACAACAGCCTATTAGCAGAAAAAACACACCTGAAGTGCGTGAATAGTACCGACCAAATAAATAAATTACCAGTTAATCCAGATAATTCCAATGCACCATCACCTTCATCTATAGAAATAAGTCACCATACTGCTAGCACTTCAAATATCTACCAAATGCCTATAAATTTTGGTATAACTATCCATAATTGTGCTCAAGGGATAATACATATTAATTACTACAATAAATAAATTCGTACATTTTACTACTCAAGTTTTTTGTATTTGTAAAATTAAAGATTTTCATTATATTTCCTTTTCTTTGTTTTTTTGTAGGCGAAAAACAATTGTATGTCACACATGCAGGAAACGCTTTAGCAGCCCTTAGCTAGCAGCTGCTCTTGCTTAGCTTCGCTCGTTCATGCAGTTAATAGCCGTGGGCTGCTAAAGCTCATTTTCTGCCCTTGTGACGCAATATACTACAATTTGCCTTATGTCTATCAAACGTCCAACTATGGTATCGAATCTTTATTTTCGGCTATCTAAATTTCGTTATTATAAACACATTTTTCCAATTTATATTAGACTTTTTAATATATAAAATATTTAGTCCTAAACGCGCGCTTATAAATAATATGATTGAAATTAAAATAACAAAAATTATAGCAATAAGCTAAACAGTACTAGTATATACTTCAAAATTAGTGATCCAAGAAATAGAGACATATATTATTGGTATTAAATCGGCAGCAGCGCAAACCATCGTGTATATAAACATTTACTGTTTATGCCATTTGTATAATTTTATGCGTTTTTCACAGTTAAAGAAAAATTTGGGAATGTGATTTTTCCGTCGGTATTAGGGCCATCGTAGCGTATATTAAAATTAATATATTTCCGTGGTAGTCTAATGTGTCGCGCGACCGTATGTTCCATTATTCCACAAAAAAGTTCTGGGCCAATAAAAGCAATTGAGGCCACTTCAAATGGTCCTTTAAGACCATCATATTACTTCTCAGTTCAGTTTCTGTTCAGTTGTGACTTAATTTGTGGAAACGCTGTTGTTTTAGACGATCAGTTTAAGTTTCAATTTGTTGTGTACATTAGTGACGAATGAATATTCCCCAATTGCGATCACTTTGGCTCCTAAAAATAAAATTACGGTCTTCTGTTAATTTAATGATGGAACTTCATTTTAAACCTCGTGAATGGTTAAACTACTTACGGACAAGCGAGAAAGTATATCAAGATTTGCTGTACCTACCTACTTAGGTACACCAATTATAAAAAAATAAGACACGAGAGGAGATATATCACCATATGAGAAGCTAAGTGCAACACTAAGATTTTTGGCAATTGGGAGTACTTTTCAAAGTCTTAGATTTCTTACTCTAATAGTATCATAATATATAAAACTTGTAAAGCAATAAAAAATGTACTAAAATACTGTACCGTAAGTAAAGCATTGTTGCAGATTAATAATTTTTATGTTTTGTGTTTTAGCAGGATTGTTCCAATAACAAAAATAAACATGGATTCTCAAGTCTCGATATAAGGCGAAAATATGTTTCTGTATTTATGCTGCATAAGATCATAAGTAATCGAATAAACTGCGAATGTCTATTACATATGCTTAACTTAAAAGTTTCACGTCAAGCCTCAAAACACACTGACTCGATTTACTTACCAACACCTCGTACTAATATTTTAAAGAACTTACTGTTGTATAATATGTGTAATAATTATAATCAGATAAGTCAGGAATTGGATATATTCCATATTAGTATTCAGGATATCAAAAGGCATTATTTAGGATAACCATCATTGTACTTCATTTCCTGTAATATTTTCCATTTTTGTATATTTTGTCTAAATATGTTTATCATATTTTCCTATTCTGTAATTGAGAATTACTTATAGAATAGTGTATTTAATAAATAAAATAAATAAATAAAACAAGGTTTAGAAACTAGTAAATGCCACCAGGATTGTGCGCAGTATGAATTTGGTGGTCTAAATAATCTACTACACAGAATCCTGATGTCAATGACTATTTTCGGATTGTTGTTGAAAAAAACCTAACATAATGATATTTACAAATCTTCTGCGAGTAAGGGACGTTAACGAACAAGTTCACTTACACATAATTTCAACTAATAACGTAAAGTTTTGGGAAATCCATCGAGCCACAACTTTGTGTTAGTTTCAGTTTTTCATTCGTTGTTTTGTATTTACACATACATATAACTGACAACTGAACTGAAAATGAATTGAGAACTGATATGACGGTCTAAAAGGACCAGTAAATCAGCCTCTTCTTTGCCCTTATGTGATCCGGTAGCCATGCTTAGTTTATTTTAACTTCTTAAATCTGTTAGGGCCTCCAAACAGTTCTTTGAGCTTTGGGTATACCTGCATAGAACTAAGTGCTTTTAACGTCTGTTGACTGAGTACATGAAAATATTTTTTCATTTACCTTATGTCTTAATACCTCTTTTGCGCAGTGATGTATTGCTATTATTTCTGCCTGGAAAACTGTCGCATGTTTAGCTAAGCTTAATATTGTTTTTGAAAGCTATGCTTTGGAAGCATTTCGTTTGAATGTATTTCCATTATTTGGTCGTTTACCAACTCTTTATATAGCTCGCTGTCACGTCCATGCAAATCTCTTCGCCTTGAATAAATATATGTAGTGGTGTTAGATTTAGCATGACTTCTAGAGCTGCTGTTGGAATCGTCTCATAGCTTTCGTGGTACTTAAGCATGATTGCCTTTGAATACCGTTAATCTGTCCAATAGCTCCAGCTTACCGAGTATTTGGGGCATTATACCATCGCTTCGTATGATATCGTAGGCCCTATGAGTGGTAGATAGCCATATGCAATTCCATGGAATTTGCGTTAGTTTACGTTTCGTTGCAGAAAATTAACTTAAAAGTTAGTATAAACAGTGAAAATAGAGGCATTTTAATATTAAATAACTTAAAATTGAAAATTAAACATAGTTTTCCGTATCTAATTTTTCTCAAAATATAAATAATTTAGTAATAATCTAGTAATGAAACTTCGAAATGCATGCATCTGGACAATTTCGCAAAATCTTATGACAATCCAAATCCAATTTTTTTGGTTTGTTCCAACAGCTTCATTCTGATGTCTCTGACTCGTGCATGGATGCATTCCTGAACTAATCACTACGCAAAATGATATGGAATGGATCAAACCAAACACATGTTTGGTAAATAGGTATTATTTAAAATACAATACAATTTATTTAGCTGTCCTAAACGATCTATGTAAATGATAATTTTGAAACCTTAAGATGTTTATTTTTATTAAAAGTAAGTACGTCATTTTACACAAAAAAAAACTTACACAAGATAAAAACAAAAAATAGTCCATTGAATTAAAATAAATAGAAACCCAAGCCACTCCAATCTAACTTAAAATAATAATAACAAACAAATATAGCACGAACGTTGAACTGCGCATGTGCTGATAAATTGTACAAGCGATGAAGCTCCCATCAATTTGACAATCCACCGACTCATTCTGTATGAATCAGAAAATTCGTTGGTACGTTTTACCTGACGGTTCATCAGACTATCCGTGTCTTTTTCTGATGATCAGATTAGCTGTTGAAACAACCGTTTTATGTGGGTACCATTTACGTGAGAACAATAATATCGATTCAAATAAATTTTTAACGTCAACTGATAAAGAACGGAAACATGACATCAAATGTCCAAGAAATCATTACAATATCCTCTAAATTTGACATAAAATAGTCTGTATCTAAGGACTATTTAATGCCGAGTTTTCCAAAATGAAAAAGAATGTTCATGTTACTGCACTGTACTCTTTATACCTAAACAATTTATTCCTAAAAAACTATAAATATTAATTATCTTCTTTCATTCACTACATTCTTTCACATTTATCTAACAATTAACTTGTTTTCTTAATTACCATTTTTCGATATTTTCAAATTTTAAAACTCAATACTTCATTTAAATTTTTATATCTTTTTTCCTAACTCTTCTTTTCAGTCAACCTTTGATATTTCATTATTTTCACATATTCACCTTTGCCTATCTTATTTTTTCTTTCATTCTTGCTTCGCATTTGTTTTACTTTTATCTTCATTTCATTTTTTATTGCTGTCAGTTTTCCATACATTTTCTGTAACTGCTCTACTTTTATTTTACTATTATTTTTATTTCTATTTATTATTTTATTTCTTCTATTCCCGAGTATCTATTTTATTTTTTTGTCTTTAATCTTTATAATATTTTTATGTTTCTTTATCTTGATTCTATATTGTTTTAGTTTTCTTTTTTTATTTGGTTTTACTCTTTTTTTCCCGAAAGTTATTCTTATTTTTTCTATTATTTCTTTAATTTTTATTTTCCTTATTCATATTTACTGCATCTTCTACATTATTAACCTGTTTTCTTCATTAAATCGTTTTTCTGTAATTACTTTTATTTTTATCGTTTTTCCTCTTTCTGGCTCCTTTTATTTGACTTATTTTATTTATATTTAATTCTGTTTCTTACATATTTACTTGTTCTTCATTTATTTCTACATTTGTCTTCTACTTTTCTTTATCTTCTATTTTATTGTAATTTTTCAATTCTTTTTGAATTTTCTCCATATTCTTTCCCAATTTTATTACCAATATCATCTAGCAACTACTTTGTATTCTCATCTATCTTCTTTGCAATTTGTAATTTATTTTCTACCATTCTTTCACTCTTTTATCTTCATCTATTTTCACCATTAATATTTTTCATTTCTGATTTATCTTTTTCCATTTTCATTATTAATATCTGAAACATGTTTATCGCATTCATTTCCTTTTTCCACCCTTAGTCTATATATTTTGTATATTGCCAAGATCCAGAGAAAATAAAAATAAAATAATAAATTGAAGGTAAGTTAATTTAATTTCAAGTAAATATAGTGGTATGTTCTCTTAACATTTTCTATTTTAAGATTCTGTAGTTATTTCAGAATAGTATAGCACTTTTCAACAATATTTGATTTAGTAGAACGTTCTTACTTTTATAAAAGTTGATTCCGGTAGTGTAGCTAGAAGGGGAAATCTTTCATACAAATGTTTGTTGCTACACTAAAAAAAATTAAGGTGCTTTTCTACAATCCTAATAGTCCCCCACCTGACTGCAAAAAGTAACATGTCGTTTCTTGTTGCTTGCTATTTGTAGTTAGGTACAAGCGAGGGGGTGAACAACATGTACTATGGCCCGATTGTGGGAGCTGTCGTCTAACCTGTCAAATTCAAAATAATGTTTCATATCTATTGAGTTTTTCGTTTTTTTGCTGACAATAAAATAATTTTTCCTACGACCACTTAGGAAAGTGACACATATCACACTATAAAGTCCTATGGAAAGTGCCCTATATCACACGCGTATGAATAACAATTTACTTTCCACCCGAGTGAGAATATGTTACTTTCCGCAGTAGTTGTTACAAAATGTCAAACACCTAATTTCTATTTTGATCTATGTAATGTCCATATTAATACTAAAATCGATATGATTGTTAAATTATTGAAATTGTTGTAAATTAGATCCTAGATATTTATCTTTAACAATTATTATTAAAATAATTTTAAAATAACTAAGATTATGTTTGCTTTTTATTCTGGTTAAACATATAACCGATTAGATCACTCAATTGACGAAAGGCCTGTTAGCTCAGTTGGTTAGAGCATCAAACTATCAAATTTGCCATTTGAGAGACCTGGCGAACGACCGCGTTCGAATCCTGGCGGGACAAGAACTTTTTTTTTTTTAATTTTTTTTTTGTTTAAAAAATATGAAAATTGAATAAATATACGATTGTTGTTGACTATTTTTTTTAAATACATTTTAATTATTATAATAACCTGGTTTTACATTTTTTGATGAAAATATTTTGTGGTCGTAGGAAAAATATTGTACATCACTTGTGTGAAAAGTGAATTTCCACACTCGTGTGATAGTCGCACTCGGCTTGTGCCTCGTGCGACAATATTTCCCACTCGTGTGAAAAATGTCACTTTCCACACTCGTAATGTAATATACTATTTCCTACAACCACTTAGGAAAGTGACACATATCACACTATATAGTCCTATGGAAAGTGCCCTATATCACACGCGTATGAATAAGAATTAACTTTCCACCCGAGTGAGAATATGTTACTTTCCGCAGTAGTTGTCACAAAATGTCAAACACCTAATTTCTATTTTGATCTATGTAATGTCCATATTAATACTAAAATATGATTGTAAAATTATTGAAATCGTTGTAAATAAGATCCTAGATATTTATCTTCAACAATTATTATTAAAATAATTTTAAAATAATGTTTGATCTTTATTCTGGTTAAATACATAACCGATTAGATCATTCAATTGACACAAGGGCTATTAGCTCAGTTGGTTAGGACGTTGAAAATATGAACTTTGCCATTTTTCGACCGCGTTCGAATCCTGGCGGGGCAGATTTTTTTTTGTTTTTTTTTTTAATTTTTTTTAGTTTTTTTTTGTTTAGAAAATATGAAAATTGAATAAATACGATTATTGTTGATTATTTTTTTAAATACATTTTAATTATTATAGTAATAATAACCTTTGTTTTACATTTTTTTGATGACATTATTTTGTGGTCGTAGGAAAAATATCACTTGTGTGAAAAGTGATTTTCAACACTCGTAATGTAATATACTATACTTCAAGATGTCAATAACAATAACATTATCCCTTTGCAAGCATTTTCTATCGTCCGGTTTTGCTGCTATCTATGTAGGAAAATTTATAAACTTATACCGAAAGTATCAAAACTGGACCACAAAAAAAATTATTGCAAAGGGATTTTATTATTATAGACGTCTAGAGGCTAATTATTTCATTGCCAGAAAAAACGAAAAACTCCATCGATCAGAAACATTATTTTGAAATTGACAGGTTCGACGACAGCTTCTACCACTGAAACATAGTACATGTTGTTCAGTTTCCTCCTTTATACCTAACTAAAAATGGCAAGCACTACATGCCACCTTTTGAGTCAGATGAGGGACTATACGCTTATAATGTGCGTTGGTAGGAAAGCTATTAAGCAAAACAAGATAATAAAGAGAAATATAAGAATCAAAACAAAACACTACAAAGAAGTAAGATACTCCAAATAAACACACGAAGGTGAATATTACAGATTACCCTAAGGACAAGTACTACATGTAAAAATATCCTAAAATAGCTATTTGTGTATTAAGATAAAAACTCGCATTTTATCGTAAGCGACAAATAGATTTCCGCTTGAATTACACTCAAGATTTTTTCTACGATCACACGATAATAAAAGTATATAGTTTTAGTTTGCCGAATTAAAATCTTACTACGTTAATTTGACAGACACGGCTAAATTGACTAACAAACGAAAAGTATGTTATGTGTATATTGTGTTGCCTGCTAACTTAAAGATTAATTTTATGATTAGCATAAAAAAATATTTGTTAGTAAGTACATCTAAAAAATCACTTAAAAGATTGGTTAGAATACTCTTAATCGCAAGTTGATGGCTCATTCACTGTTTTAAAAGTTTTAATTTTACAAATAAAAAAATCAATTTAAATAAAAAAAAAATTACCGGTGAGGATTGAACTCACGACCTGTAGGTTGAAAGACAAACGCGATACGCTCTACACCAACATGATGTTAAATATAAGTGTTAAAAACAGGGTAATTTATTTTTAATATTTTAATTATCATCTAAATATTAAGAAAAATGAGTTTGAATATTAAATATTCAACTAAAAGATTTACATTAGTCTACATTTTCTTTTAAAATACCGATTAGCTTTATATTAAAAAAATTTCTAATGAAATTCTCTAATAAAAATAGGCGTGTGCAAAAAGTGACTTTCCGCCTATATGCTGCAATAATGTCAAACTATGAGAATTCATGGAAAACGCCAACTTTCCAGCTAGATCTGAATGTGCAAAAGACTACTTTGGATAGTGATCGTAGAAAAAATATATTGCATAACTGTTTTAATTTTCTCTATTGATTAATCATAAATTTGTCTTATGGGTTAGTAGATTAGTTTTGAAAAGTATATATTTTTATGCTTACACTAAGGGTTGATTGATTTCGAAAATTTATCGAAAAATAGGTAAGCACATATTCCAATTTAATAGCCCAATAAGAAACAAAACATCAAAGTAGCAAAATATTTCCTCTTTCAATAATCCAACAAAAAATTAAATGGTGTTGTTAGTAAAAGTTGCGCAAAATAATAATAAAAATAACCAAAATATTTTTCAAACTTAAATAACTTTCAATCTGTAACACAGAACTTTTCGAAGGAAAGAAAAATGAAGAAAAATCTTGCGACATTTCTTAAGAATCCAATTTCGGTTCGATACTCTGCTGCTGATTGAAAAATATTAACCCCCGCGAAAATAATCAACGGCAAAGGGACTAATTCAAAAGAAAAGAGCTTAGTATAAAATAAATACGGCAATTTAGGTCCCCCGCCCAGGCCGAGGAGGCGAGGGAGAAAAGAAAATTCAGAAGATCCGCTCACAATTAAAGTAGCCCTTAAAGATAAGCCTAGGGCGTAAAAAACATCCCTTTTACAAGTGAAAAACTTCGTTAGAAAATCCCGAGAAGGAAACTTCGTTAACCGACTTGAATTTGGTGTTAACAATGAGCTCTTGGATTTTTTGCAATTTTACCAAGTCTTAGATAGATTTCGGGGGCTGATTGCCGGAGTAATGAGCCATGCGATGACATTTATCTTGAAAAGGGGTAAGATTAGTTGCCCTTAGCGATTATTTTAACCTTTTAATTGAATGAGAGTAATGAGAGTGTTAAATACCCTGAGCCGCTTTCCGAAATCTAGATGAAGACGTTTTCGGAATTTTTTTTATTTTTTTGGTAACTAACTAACTCGTATTTTTTAAATGAAACGTGTTTATTGTTATAAATGAAAATCTAAAAGGTAAAATCAATGCGTTTCCTAATATAATTTATAAAAAATGATCTTGATAGTTAAAGTCATCCATTGTTCGAAAAATTAAATATATAAAATCCTAAAATTATCTGTTGAAGATATATAGTTTGTAACATTATGCAACAATCTAGATTAAATTAATGGAATAGTCCAAATCAATGACAAACTGTTAAATAAAAGAAGGAAAAACTTGACTGGTCCGAAGGTTGGACGATCTTGTTCACGATAGAGACGAGCTTTGTTTACATTAAGTTTGTCCGTAACATAATACTGATAAGACCGTTTTACTCACATACGGAAAAAAAATCACTAACCATTAGCGAACTTTTACTTACCCCAAATAAAAGGTTGTATAATATATGAGACAGGTAAAATGTTATGTGTTACTTTCAAAAAGTATATTATTAACATCTTTCATTAGTTCTATTTGTATACATTATAAATTATTTCATTTTATCTTTGTTGAATTTTCAAATTGATTTTGTTATTAATCTTATCTACTTCTATTTTTTTTTATATTATAAAATAAGATTTCTGGATTTAGTCACCTGTGGTTAGTAAACAGTTTAATTAATTTGTAGATGACCTATAATTAGTGAACTATTTACTTGTGGTTAGTGCCCATTAGTTTCTTACTATAAGTACACTTTACGATACTAATTGGTTTTGGTTTATTTGCCGCAAGTTAACTGGTTTCTTGTGATGTAAGAGATTTTTATTTTAGTGGGTGGCGTATACAGGGTGGCCCATTGAAAACGTACCTCAAGGCATTACAGGGTAAATAAGAACTTTTTGG